ACAAGGTGAAGCAGCCAACAGATCCAGACAACAAGGTGAAGCAGCCAACAGATCCAGACAACAAGGTGAAGCAACCAACAGATCCAGACAACAAGGTGAAGCAACCAACAGATCCAGAAAACAAGGCGAAACAGCCAACGGACCCAGACAACAAGGTGAAGCAGCCAACAGATCCAGACAACAAGGTGAAGCAGCCAACAGATCCAGACAACAAGGTGAAGCAACCAACAGATCCAGACAACAAGGCGAAACAGCCAACGGACCCTGCCAGCTACAGCGACTATCAGCAACGGACGCAAGCGCAACCGGGGGAACAAGCTCAACATGAGCAATTAGGCGCCCGTTTCCGAGAACGCCAGGAAGCGGCTAGGGAGGAAGCAAGACGGTCCCGTGCTGAGCAAGAACTGGAAGACGCCAAAGGTTTTGAGGACGATGACATATTCATTCCTAATATCAAACGTTAATCCACAGCGGGGCTTCCATCAGTTAGCCAATACCGAGGATGACTCTTTCTTTCTTTTCTGCCTTCATTCGTCTTGTACTTCTCTTTTCTCTGCTTCTCCTGGAGACGGCCATCTGGACTGGACGTGTTCGGGGAATGGGCGCAAGATAACCCCATTTTACATTGAATATCGGAGTTCTTGAATTTCATACCGGAGCCTCGAAGCTCTACGAAAGCGACGTCGATTCATCTTAACTGGTCTTTTAGCGGTTTGGATTGCATACATGCTATCATTGAATAATTTCATTAGGGATAATAGTCAAAGCGTGGATAGACATTATCACTACAACTCATCAACCCCTCAAGTTTTAAAGGGAATCATGTATTGGTAGAATGGTTATGTTAGCTGCTTACGTGGAAGCTCCTACATAGCATCCTAATTTAAAGCGTGTTTTGCTCGCGGAAGGCGACGCCAGTTATTATCAGTATTTTATATTGCAGCTATAGTTCCGTGAGAAGCCTGTGGTCGCTCCGCTTGTTCTAGTCACCAAGCATGCAACTGAAGATGCATGCTGTTTTCCAGATTCTGATTACCTGTGATTGAGGTTACTAAGGATAGTTTCCAAACGCCAGATTCCAGAATTTATCTAACAACAAACCTATAAGGATAGAATTTTACAGTATAAGATGAATTGAACTAATTTTGGTGCGTACAAATAGGATGCGGAAAACGTGGGGGCCCTGTGGCATAGCCGGCCGTCACAGGAAAGAACCTCGATCAAAACCTGTCACGTGCTTTATTTATACTGAAATGATTGTTTCTACGACATGTATTCTTCCTACGATCACCACAAAAATGTGGACAACAAGCTTGTACTTATGACATATCCCTTGTGTCAGAGTACCAACTGCTGGCGATTGGAAGAAGGTTCCGTGCAGCTTGCAGAGTTACCTACATGCCCTGTAATTAGTACATGCATCTATAAGGCGATTGATGTATCCCCCATGACAACCGTACTGCGTAGAAATGTAGTAGGTGGTTGCTAAGAGTAACCAGAGCATAGGATAGTTTTTCTCCGTTCCCTTCCAAGTACTGTAATTTTTTTTTTCTTTGAGAACATACACGACAAAATCAATCCACCACAATCCATATTCGGCCATACCGAAGGCCCAGGACCAGAACATACACGCCTGCTAGGAGTTCGACCTGCACTCCTAGCTGGCTAGACCTCCTCGTTTTCATCATGTCTTATCGCGAAGCTGTGTGCACAAGTTGCGGTCGATATGGGAGAAGACGGTCCGAGTGCCCTATATGTCCATGTATTTGCTACAAAGGGATGGCCATATTGTCACTGACTGTCCCAAAGTCCCCCCTTGCGCCCATTGTAGTCAGAAAGGGCATAAAGCCGCATACTGTCCCCAAGCTCGCTTTATGAAGAAAGTCAAATCGAGAGCTAAGGTCACATTGAAATCCAAAGCAGAATCAGAACGGACAGTTATATCAGGTATGACCGTGACGGGTCTGGAATCGCCCTATCACGACCATGACCATGACTTATGGCTAAGTCTGCCTCGAGAAGTCCGCGATGTAGGGTTCTGCTCTATTATACTTTTGAGTGTTCAATCTTAATAACCATGCTTAGGATGTTTTTGTGGGCGAACCAGTGGAGTTTTCAGATCTAAGGGTCGTATAATACTTTAGTACGTCCCGAGCATAGGGAGGCATTAAGTGAAGTTGGAAGCTGGAGGATTGCTCTTACCGTGGCGCACCGGTTCGTACGTCGGCAAACACGTAAAGGTCGTGAAGAATTATATAGCGATTTGGTGATACCCCGTCCCAGCAAAGGACCATTGCCAGTCAAATTTAATCATTGTGGATCTCGTGTTCTTGATGATCTGAATCCAGAATACAAACTCTTGAACCCTAGCGTTTACGTCCGCAAGCATATCAATACGTCTTGCGGTAGGTCAGACTGCAAATCATCCTCTTACCAGACTACACCCGTGGATCCCACCATTCCAAGTTGTTCCCGGGACCGCAGGGCTCTTGCTAGGGCATCGAAACATCAAGACGACTTTGCTCTTTGGCGGAAAGACACCGGCGGGCTACCTAGTAGTGTAACATTGACTCACAAATGCGATGGCCTCAAAGGGGACAAAGTCTTCGAGGACCGCAGTCCCAAATGGATGATTGGGGAGAAGAAGAGATATTATATTCCTTGGTCCAATTGTATTTGAACAGTGATCGCGAGGCTTAAAGATCCACAAATCAATGCAAATGCAATAACCGCATCCAGAGTCAAGGAAATCCTTAAAAGAGTTGCTAGGCGGGAATTCAACATAGTTGATGTATTTCAGAACTTAGAGAAATATCTCTAACCTAGTATATTAGTTGTCGATGGTAGCAAGCAGTACGGTACTCTGAATACCGTAACAATTGACCTAGCGGAGTAGATTTGAACCAGCGTGTTCACAAGTGAGCTTGCATACAAACTGCACAGAAATTTGACTTTAAATATACATGTGGGCTCTTGGGACAATGCTCCAGCGGAGCACACGAAGCTATTTCCAGGGCGCTGGCGAAGGCTACCTATCTGGCAGAATTTCATGGATATAATTTGGTAAAACAAGTCAAATTCCCAAGCGAACGCAGAAAGTGGCCTGTGTTCGCTAGGCCCGGCTGGCGTAATGGTTAACGCGTGGGACTTCTACGGATGTGTGAGTCTGTGAGTCATCCCAAGATTGCGAGTTCGAGTCTCGCGTCGGGTTTCAATTTTTTCATATTGATACGATGGTTATCAACTTGATCTTTATTGAAGTAGTGTAGATAGGCAATAATTACAAGTGAAGAGTTCCTCTTAATTGGTCCGCATCGTTTATTCTACCTCCAAACAATCAAACAAAGTGAATGTGTCTTTGTTAAAATAATAGATTAGCATGTTTAGCAGTGTTCATGGGACTCGTAGCTCACTCAAAAAATCGTGACCCCAACAACACGAAACAGCATCGGGTAACATGATTTCCTGCAATTATATTATGAGATAAATGAATACGTATGTAGCACCCCTGAACGCCCTGCTCTACAATATGCATTCATACATTCAAGCAGCTGACACTATTGAAATTATGAGAAGAACGTTGTCATCACTCCATCGACTTGTTTCAACATTCAACAGCTCTTTTTAACGCTCATTGAGTAGGATAGTACGGCTGGCCTGGAGCTGGTGTGCCTTGAGGACTGGGAAGCTCTTGAGTGTGATGGTGTACCGTCTGATTCTGAACTTGGTGGGGTACGGCTTGATTGTATACACCCTGGGTGGCAGTGTATCCTGTGTTCTGAGCTGAATAGGGTGAGGGTGTATAGGGGTCGTAGGGAGGAGTCTGGTAGGTAGCAGGCTGGTGTTGCTGCTGTTGACCCCACTGAGGTTGCTGCTGGTTGCCGATGGTCTGATGCTGGCTGGTGGGAGCAGCAATGCCGGAGGCCTTCTCAACATCGCTGCTATACTTGGTCCATTCAAGGCGGAAGAAGTGGGCAACGTAAGCAAACGTAGCGACGAAGAGCAGCAAGTTTATGGCACTAATGCCAGCGACAGCTGAGATCACAGCGCGACCGGTTGGGCCTGCAACGGCGACAGCGTCACGCTTGTAGATTATACAATGGCCGGCGTTGATAGTGCTCCCATCGTCATAGCAATCAGCATCAACTGGAACGACGAAGCTGGCACGGTACGCAGCGTTGGCACCCAAGCTCGCTATCCAAAGAACCATCATGAAGAAATCCAACGAGAGCACCGCCCAAGTGTTGTATCCGGAGCGGCAGCCCGTCGAATGTTCGGTGAGAATCGCATACAGAGCGATGATCCACGTGAAAACGCCCTGTTTAAATTCATGGTCAGCTATTGCACAAGAGCTATTTTCTATCCTTCCTTGGATATAGAGAGAGGCTTCACCTACCGAAGCAATTGCAATGCCCTGCGGATCAGCATAGAAGCCATGGATCAGAAAGCCGGACAGAGCGACGATAATGAGTGCAACAACGATTTGTGCAATCCGCAGCCCAATGAACCATCTCGGCGTTGGGATGAGTGTTTTGCCGTGCTTGACTGATTCCATTGTAATCAGAGTATGTTCGTCAACAATCCCAGGTTATGATGGTGTTATCCTGCTGTCGCTCTGCCTTTTGGTGAGAACTGAGCTATCTTCTCCTGTGGGTGTGGGCACTTGAGAATCTCCCCTACCAACCAACACCGTGGGCTCGGGATCTCAGTCTATTTGTACGAAAAGCTGTGGCACTTCCTTTGACTCTTCCACTATCCCATCCAGCCGCACGCCACCCAATTCCGAGACCCGCTTCGCGAGGGTCGGGTCCAGGCGTGAAGGGAGTACTATGTAAAGAGACATGTCGGAAGCCTCCTGGCCAGCTGATTAACTAGTGCTTCAGCCGCACTCCGATTTGGTGAATCAATCGGTGACCTACGCTTGGCTTGTGGCCACTAGCTGGCGTTGTCAATCTTCCCTAAAACACCTAGGCATGAATTTATGAATCACCTCATTCCCGTTCCAGTAGCCACTTAGCTCTTGTAGCCATACATATCGGTGCACGAAGCGAGAAAGACCCGGGGTGCGTGGCAGGGCAGATTTACCAAGCAAGCCTTGACTTTCGCTTTGCATTTGTCTCAACTGCCCCCTCGCGATAATGTATAGCATAACGTACGAAGAGACGGCCACCTAGCCTATAGGCTGCCTTGATATTTGTTGCCTTTCAACGAACGCCTCATGGACTGCCATTTAATTGAGATTTAATGAATTGTACTCACATATAAGACGTCGCTTTGATTAAAGAGCCTAGATCAACGACTGGGTGTTGGGCCCTTCGTTGTAGGTAAGTAAGTAGGTATAAGGAACTTTGAAGATAAGCACGGATGAACTTTATGGCAGCCGATCTGACTGACGTCTGGAACATTAAAAGGCCCCTTCCCTCCCCTCTCGCCACCAAAATCGGTTGAATAGAATAACAGGTAAGTTCTCGCGACTCAATAAGTCTGTAGAGGCCTCCGCCCGTTGTCAGGTCGGGTCATACAAAATCGCTGCTGCAGAGCGGTACTCTTGCCATTGCATCCGACCATGCCACTTGGATTTCAAGAATTGACATGTCACCAAATGCTCCAAAGGATACTGAGTCTAGTGGAACTAAGGCGCAGCTAGCTAGCACAGCCAGTATGCAAGGGTCCACCCTAGGGCGGCAGATGCACTGATCAGAGTTTATGATTAGGGTAGCATAAGCCGCCTGCGTGACACGGAATCTTCTATTCTTATTATTCTGGACACACTCAATATGCGTGCGTTCGGACAGACTAGCACACCTTGTGTTTTCAGCCCAACAGCCCAGGGCTTTAGTTCGTCTTCTTTACGCGGGGTCAACGCCCTGTTTGGAGTCTAGATGCCTAGCCCATGATGTTTATAGGTGGCTATCCTCATTAGCTTGTTGTAGGGAAGTGAGATAGGTATGTTTGACTCCCGATATCGCGGATCACTTCATCGAGATATATTCAGGTAGTTATGTCTACCCAAGTCCACTCTCCGTAAAAGATCTTGGTGAAATCTTTGAAAGAAATCTTCCTGCTAGTCTCCTTTGACAATTGTCAACATACTTGGCAACTTTGATAAGTAGATTGATCTGTCTGGAAACGCGCAACTATTTATAGTCTTTGATGTATCACTTAAGCAATATTTTGTACATCGCACCACTGGGAGGGTGGTCAGGTCACAGAAACTCAGGAACTGAGGCGTACTTGTGACCAGATATCAAAAACCGACGCTAATGTTGCCAAGCGATCTTGAAGATTGCACTAGCCATCGGACTCAACAAGAACTTGCAGATGAACAACACGGTGAACTGACGGATACATACTCTAGTTATAAAAATATTAACACGGTGCGCACGACCAGATAACAGGTACTAAGTAAGTAGTTATAAACTGTAAGGACTTCTGCTGGCGGAGGCATTTCTAGCAGACCTTTATCTATTAATAGCATCCTACTTCGGCAGCCTGCAGCACTAATGTATCCAGGGTCTAACTAATGAGAAGGTTGACATGGAAGCGTTCTTGATTTGCTTAGTACCTCTTGCTTGCCGCTTTTTAGATGATGTAATAGCTAAATGAACAGTCATGTGTGTCCCTAGATAATCATCTAAATGAATTGCCAATTCCGCTGTCTTGGACAGTGTTGATGAGGCTCTGATCTCGCTGAACAAAGCGGCGGATGACACGTAAGCGCTTCTGATTTGTCTTAGCAGCGTTGCATTCGCGGGAAATTCTCACTTGTCATTCACTCCCATCTAAGGAATCATCAGGGCACTGCCTGAGAACTGCCCCCAGCCTGCAGGTGGGCAGATTAAAGGGCAAACTACATGAAACTATCGAACATACAAATAAAGCTTTGAATTTCCCAATAGCATACCACGAAGAGATCACTCTTGTGTCTCACATATCCAGTAGCGACCTGCATATCGATTTCCAGAATGGTAGTTCAGGGAGGCCGAGACTCCTGGTGGCGAGCTGACCTTAAGAATAAACAATACGATATAGTTGGTGATGCATACGATGATACGATTTACAGAAAGCTCGAGAAGGAATGGACTCAAGACATGTGCGTAAAACGGCGCCGATTGAATTTTACCCGCTGACCGGAATACATGCTCTCAGAGACACGTCGCCTTATTTGGATTGGGTCAAAAAACTGTCGGAGTCTGGATGGATCCATCTAAGACCCCTTGCGGACTTTATGTTCATTGGGGCAACGCCTCAGCTCTGGGGGGATTTGGATCCAAATCAAGGTCCTGGTAAGGATAAAGGAGTGACAAGTGTCGATGAAATGACACGAAGGACAAGAGAACGCGAAAGGCGCTTCGCGAAAACGAATGTCTGTATGCTGGATTACTATCCCGATGAAGTCAAAAAGGAGACCTTTACTTCTGCTCAAGATCTGCAAACGGGTTTGGACGAACGAATTGCAGATGAGATTGAGTTCAGGCTCTATGTGATAGAGGATCTCTCAAGAGATGTTATCGAGGCATTCGGCCAAAAATGTAAGTTTATTGTCTGTCTCTACCTCCTTTGAATGGCGTTTTGTAGTGCACTTTTCTGGTGGTGGGACTGAAACGATAATTCAAAATGTCTCTGTCAACAGCATCTACTAGCTGAGACATTCGAAGAGATGGCTAATTACCGTGTACTATAGACAAGATCGAGCCGGACTTTTGGAGGGCTCATATAATGGATTTTGCGTGGTCGAATGTCCGCGATCGGTGGAAAAATCCCCCTTTGCTCGATATCGTGAGTAGGCATCAGAACTGGATGCAATTGAGATATGTTACCGCTCGGTATTTCGATGCAAATGAGAAAGGTAGCCGAAAGGAGAAATCGAGTTTCACAGAGGCAGCAGAAGAAGCCGCCAAATTCAACATTTTCCGTCGAGTGGACGATGATCTAAGCAACAAATCATATTGGGACAAAGAGGGAGCAATCGTGGGGTTGATGAGATCGAGGGCAACGTTCTGGCTACAGCCGAGTGGCCCTCAGAACAGCACTCCAGTGGGTAAGTGGTTATTTCCCATCCAATATATACAGCGAACTAAAATTTGAGTGTCGCAGGTATACTACTATTAGACCCAACTGTGACTAAAGGAGTTCCATTATGGCGTGGCCGTCGCACATTATGGCCGACGCCTGAATTTGGCCAAACACCCCCTTCAGGGCCTCCCCAGC